GAGAAAAGTGAGGTGAAAGACTAGCAAGTTGCAGTGAAAGGAAACTGTGAACTCAATTATTTTATTTCTCTATACAAGAACAAAAAGGAAGTAAAAACTTTTATTTCATTTTAGAAATTAAAGTTTATATTTCTTTTTTTTTTTTTTAAACCTCTTTTGGTTGGTCTTTTGAATAAATCTGATTGAGAGTGATACACTTTAAAAAGATATTTTATTTATTTTTTTTTTTTTCATAAAATAATTTTTTTTTTTAAAGCTATTTCTTTTTGATAAAAAAATAAAAGAAAAATTGGATTATAAAAAAAAAAAAAGTAAAAAATAAAAATCATAAACACGGTGCCTTAACTTTTTTTATGGATCATTATGGCAAAAGGAAAAAAAAACCCACGTAAAAGAATATATATCACTTTAACAGGACGCTTTTGTATGTATTACTAAAGTTAACAAAGTAATCAGTGTTTACTTGCATTGTCTCCAGACAAAAGACAAGCACAAACCAAATAACTGCCTTTTCTCTAAAACAAGCCACAGAAAGGAAAAAAAAAAACTGACATGCAAAGGCATTTGTCTCAGGCCAACAGCAATAGTCATAGCAGTACCAACACACGATCAACACTATTTGAGGTTATCATTAGATTTTACAAGCACAAGACTGACTGGCGCAGGTATATATATATTATATAAAAAATAAAATAAAATAAAGAAAAATAAAGAAAACTAGCAGAAAGATCTGATTATTCAATTCCAGAATTTAAACCCAGTCAGCTGTTTAAAGAATCTAATATTGTTTCAATTTTAGTGGGAATTACAAAGTCAGATTGTTTTGTGTGGTACAAGAGAGAATACCAGCTGGTTTGTGGCAGAGAATAAATGAACAACAAACAGTGAAGGGCGAAAAGGGTGGGCATTGAAGAAAACTAAATTCCAAGAGGCAGGGCCAAATGTAAAGTGAAAGTCAAGCTATCACTAAAGCTTTTTAAACTCTGCTGGCTAAAGGGAAATTCCAGCAAGAGACAATTGATAATAATTCTTGGCTCCTATCTATGAAATTACTCATCAAGGTTGTTTTTTGTAGTTTTATTTTTCCTGAAGGAGAAGAAAAAAATCAGCAAGCCAAGAAGAGAAATTAAAACTGTACAAGAAGCTTCAGCATATTTGTCTTTTGTTTTTTTTCAAGAGGGGAGAGAAGGTAAATTAATGACAGTGGCACAATGCAGATTTTTAGTTTTTTTTTTGTTTTTTTTTTTAAGTATATGATTGTTGATGATAGGAAGTGTGTGTGTGTGTGTGTGTGTGTGCGTATAAAAACTTAGAATGTAAATAGTCTCTGGTCTCAAAACAGAGCAAACCATAATCACAGTTGACGTCAAGGGCCAACATTTTGGTCAGATAAGGCAAATCCAATTTTTGGCTTAGTTACTAGAACCTGGGATCTGTAATGTGTGCATATGTAAGTATAATAAAACATATATGTGTGTGCGTGTGTGTGTGTAAAGTTGTATGGCTTTTAAATAAAAATTAAATGAACCACTTAAGGGGTTTATTTTACATTACACACACACAAAAGAAAGAAAAAAAATCTCAGTAAAAAGTGTCGGGCTTTAGGCTTCACATTCCAGCATTTTTCTTTCTCTTCTTTTTCGAAAATTTGAAAATTTGAGTATCTTGAGAGTAATAAGTATTGCACAAGGAGGCCCCTTGGGTGGCCCTTGGGGTGGGACAAGGAAATAACAACAAACACCAGTTGGTAAAAGGGCGGAGCTGAGAAGACTAACATGGTGCCAATAACAGATTAAGTGAAAGAAGAAAACTGAACAAAGGTAGATTGGTCAGTCTAGACAGGAAGAGAGGCTTAATTCCTTTTCACTGTAGACTGACTCATCAGAATAGGGTGCATTTAATTCTAGTCAACCAGATTTTAATAGCTGAATACCCTCATCAAATGAGCTGCACACCTACTCATATACAAGTTGTAAAAATAAATGCTAGTAAGTTAGTAATGATTACTTAAAAAAAAAAAAAAAAAAAAAAAAAAAAAAAAAAAGAAAGAAAAAGTATTGTGTGGCAGGCATTTTCCACTGTGGAATGGCAGCTAAAAGATATGTTACTCCTTTGATTTTTTTTCTTCTCCATTCTTTTATAATCATGGACAAAACTATGAAATAATTTTAATCATACTATACTGAGAATTTATTAAATTTTATGAGTATATTTTATTGGCAAGGGCTGTTAATTGGAGGTAACGCTTCAAGTTGGTCATGTTTTTTAAACATTACCATCTTCAAGATGTTCCTGGTTTTAAGTAGAATCTAAACATTTTGGGGTGGATTAATACTGTGTCAATAAAACAACTGAATCCCGTCAAAAGTTTTCATTAGATTCTAACTCCAAACACAAAATACTGAGAGAGTCTTTTTACTTGAGAGATCCTCTCAGTATCTTTGGACAAAATGGAAGAATGACCCACAAAGTTGAATGAGAAATTCTTCAATAGAAGAAAAAAAAAAAAATTTTTTTTTTTTGCTGTCAGAAAATTTTCTTTATTTGGTTCGTTCATAAAATTAATAGCTAACAAAACAGAAGTAAAACAAAGAAGCAACATCACAAACAATCCTCTCATTCCTACTTTGTTATTTTTCTTAATATTTAGAAACATCATTAGAAAACATAACAAAACATTTTGTATTTGGAAATAACAGATCCATTCCTACGGTATGGAAAGAGTGTGGGGCAAGGGAAAAAAAGACTTCTGTAATCCAATTAAGTGGTAGTGAGAGATTTTACAAGCCTACATCATAAATTGTATAGGAACCTGAAAGAAGCAAAAAGGGAAAAGAGAATCTTGTGGAAGCCACCAGCCAGAAACGACAGAATTTACTCTATTGAGAGATAATAGGTGGAGTATAGTCAGTGTATCAGGGTATTTTGTCAAAATCCACAATTTCAAGCTGACAATGAACTATGCAATTATTGGTAAGTTCTCAAAATATAGGATTTAAAAAAAAAAAAAAAAAAAAAAATGAAATGAAATGCCCTGTTTTTGTTTTGTTCTTTACAAAAACAAAAACCATGAATAAAAATGCCCTGGACAAGACTTTTAAATTGGTCCATTCATTGTTCTGTTCTTGAAAGGAATGCTGAAGGCATCCAGCAAGAGCAACACAGATCTACAAACCAGAGCTAACTGATTACATTAAAAATAAATCCAAAGATAGATTTTCTCATTGAATTATTTATTCTATTATAACAGAAAGCAAAGATTTCGTTTATAGATAGAAAGTAAAACTTAACAAAAACTCATGCTTCTGGAGAGACATAGATTATGTAAGTTTATAAAGGTGTGTAGATGCTAAATCCAGTGGTGGCTATGAGGATAGAAAGATTATTCTCGGCGTGGGCAGTCAATCTAAGGGAGGTAATTTATCGATAAACTGAGAGAAGCCTAAATTGACAGTTTGATGCTTGTTTAGACGAGGGGAAGGAAAGATTCAAATAAAATGCATAACAGGGAATTTCACTTAAAAATTAATTGTAAAAAAAAAAAAAAAAAAAAAAAAAAATTGTAAAAAAAAGAAAAAAAAGAACAAAAAACATTGATTTACAATAATAATGATAATAAATTATGACATAACAAAGAAAAACATTTCTTATATTTTTCATTTTTTTTTCTTCACATTTTCTTTTTCTTTACATGGTCAAATCCACATGCTGTTTTATGTTACAAGGCTGAGGCACAAGCCTCCTTCTGCTCAACAAAAGGTGAGAGAGACTGAATGTCAGATTCACAGAGGACAAGAGGGCTAGCAGCTTTTTTTGGGAGGGGGGGGGTATTTTTTTTCTTTTTTCTCTGATATAATCTTTTTCCATCTATTATCCATGATCAATGCATTTTTAGAAAGAATGTAGGGACACAGGAAGAAGAGGAAAAGTTTGTTGTTACCCTTACAGTGCTGAGATTATCAAGGGTAAGGCCTTCCAAGGAAATTTAATAAAACCTTAGAGACCAACCAAAATTTATCTGCCAATTTTTCATCATCCTGGAATATGGTTGGGTTTAATTATTTTCTCTGTTCGTTCAGAAAGAGACGAAAACAATTTTCTAAGTAAAGAACTATTAGCATTTTGGTTATTGGGTGTGCTTGAAAGGAATCAAAAGTTGAGACTCCCAAATAAAATAGCAGCAAGATAAAAATTAACAGCTCACATCACATATGTTTTGCGTAAATAAAGGGGAAAAAAAAAGCCTCTTTATTAAAATATCAATTATTCCAATAAATCGTAAATGAGGAGAGATGAAAAAATTCACATGTGAGGCAGGCAGGAGGCACACAATAGGCACAAAAGTCTTATCAGCAATTATTTTCTTAAAAAAAAAAAAAACAGGTAAAAATAGCTATAAATAAAGGTAAGACATAGCATTTGATTTATGCAGATGAGAAGCTGAATTAACTGCATCACTATCTAGATTTCAAGCCAAAGGGTAAAGAAAAATAATAGTACAATTGATTGACATTTAAGTACTGGGAAAGTGAGAAAAAAAAAAAAAAAGAAAAAGAAAAAAAAAAAAAAAAAAAAAAAAAGAGAGAGAGCTAAGACTGATGCCAAGGGAGCCACAGTTAGCAAGTAGTGCGAGAAAAATTCCATAAAGAGAATGTTTGAAACCCCCAGCCCCAACTTTAAAATGATACAAGCAATGCCAGTTAATGGTTGACTAAGACTGCTATGAGCACTCTAGTCAAAAGGTCGTGTTCCAGGATTAACAACCAATGCTAATACCTTCTGCTAACAGATGTGTGTAAACATGTGAGAAAGAGTGGGTGGGCCAAAAGCACCCATGCATTGTTAACAGACAGATTGTGGTTAGCAACTGTAAAGATGGCAACAGACAAAAATGGTCTGACAGTAGCAGACAGTCCTCTTGGTTCGTACATTCATTCAGTCATGCAAACTTCAGGCTGCCAGGCAAAGCCACGACGCTGACTAACAAGAAATAAAACTTTCTAAGTTGGTGTGCTGGGCTCATTGGACCCTCCTGTGGAACCGTCGGCATTCATAGTTTTCTTTGTACGATTCAATCGCTCTAGCTCTGCAGCAGCATCGCGAGTAACAGCAGCTTTGTCAACTGAAACAGAAAACAAATTATTCCTTTGTTAGAAGGAGAAACAAATAAAATCAACATAACAGAAATAAGCAATGGTAATAAACCTTACTTCAAATTTGGAATCTGTAAGTGTTTTTAAAAATTCAAAATAACATTTTGAAAAATATTTTTGGTAACAATAAGTAACATGCTTTACTTGACCTTGTTTAGGATATATTCTTTTAAAAAAAATTGGACTATTTTCATTCAACAACAAACAAAAAAAAATTAAGTGGTAGGAAAAAGATTAAAGAGTATAGAGTTTCTGTCTAAATTTCTGGGAGTTATTAAGGATAAAATGTTTTGTTGAGCTGATTATGACTCATGACTGCCTCACAGGACAACAGAAATTGTGAATTCAATTTTGGAGCCAGGCAATGCAGACCTGGACTCTGTGGAAACAGGGAGAGCAATAACTGAGCAGTACTAAATAAGAACTAGATGAGATATCGCTAACTTGAACAAGATTAAATAATGGTTTCAGTTTGAAATTCCCTGAAGGTTATCAGAATCAACACCTACCTGATGAAGGCCAGAGGGCCCAATAGCAGAAACATTATAATAATAACAGGATGAAGTCAACACAAAGAGTAGTTTGTCTTTATTTATGTAAAGGGTGCGAGGATAAATTGTCGTCTAAATTACACAAAAATATCTTGAAATACTAGAGTAAATTTATTCAATAAAATCAACATTGGTTTCAACCACAGCCTCCAGACTACTTCAGAATCTCCTGCAATACTTTTGGACAGCCTCCTTGTTTAAGTTGGTGAATGTTGCTATAATCCTTGCCTTCAGTACATCTTTGGTGTGACAAGGAGTTTTGTCTCTTGCTCAACTGCACCCCACACATAATCCTCTGCACTGTCCTCAGATTGACACCCAAACACTGAATTGTTCATACTGGAGCATTCAGTGCAAATGCCAAGCAGTACAGCATGTTATTTCCAAACTTCTGGCAGAGTGAATTTTGTCATGGTGCTGTTTTTCTCTCAAATGCTGCCCAACTGACGCTACTATACTGTGCATTCAACAAAATCAAAAACAAACGCGTATGCATAAAATTAAAATATAAAATGGCAACATTTAACCCTTTATAATATAGTCCCCAATATTTTTTTATGTAAGAAAAACAATAAAAATCACAACAGTTGATGAGTCACATTGATCACAAATTGTTTCAAAAAAATAATGTGAAACTTATTTTTACATATTTGAAATTTACAAATTCATTTTTTAATTTGATTTACCAAAATAAAAGTATTTTCCATTTTTTATATATCCAATAAAAAAAAAAAAAATCAGGAGTGTTCATGACACTATATACCAAGAAAATGAATAAATAAATGTGATATGATATTTTAAATCGGGGTGTTCGAAAACCCCACAGTACTAATATTGTGACAATGCCTTACAGCCCTAATGGTGTGCAAATTAAAATGAGATATATAAACAATTCTACCTGCTTTATTGCCTGTCCCAGTTTTCTTGCTGAGGAGACTGTTGAAGAAGTTGGCCAACATTCCTTCACTGCTGGCCGTTTTGCAGGAATCGAGCTGAAATTAATGAATTTTGATATTAGAAACACTACTTTATCTTAGAATCTTTAAAAAAGCTGAGAAAGTGCAGTCGCATTCATGCAAGAAGAAAAGCAACATTGCAAGTTCTTTTACTGCTCAAAATAAAAGCCATAATGTTAATGTTAAAATGATTGCAAAGAGTTTAATATCTGTAATGGACACTGACTGATAAAGTCACTTCATATTTCTAATAAAATACATTGTGGAGACATCCTCTACCATTGACTTCATTGGAAATATGAAAATTGAATTGTCTTTATTATTCAGTTAAATAAAAGATACATGTTTCTATTTGTGCATGATAGAATTCAGAATTGTATAATATATAATAAAGACAATTGAAGGATGTGCAGGTAGTGTAGCAGTTATCAGTGCATAAAATGGAATTGACAGGCTAATACCATTGCATTCACTTCATACTAATGCCCTTGAGAAAGGCATCAATTTATCTCTTCCACTTCCTATGTAATGGACTGGGCTCTTTAGGCTACCATTTTAGAAAGATAGCTTTGATTTCATCTTCACTGCTGATATGTCATGGGCCAGTGTAGTATGGTAAGGCCCATTGTTTCCCACATTTAACAAACTTCAGAAGCCAGAGTATTGCAGTTGACAGAGAGTAGAAAAATAAAAACAAAGTGGGGAAGGAGTAAAGAATTTTTAAATCATTTCACATTTAATGACAGACATTTAAGATTTTTGACACTGAACTTGGAGAGAACTGTAAGCTGTGTTCTTGTGATTTGTAAATCATGTAATATTCAATCTTAAAAAAAAAAAAAAAAAAAAAAAAAAAAAAAAATAGTCAAACCTAACTGCAATTACTCTTTTTATAAAGCAACAAGACTTTTTTTGTTAAATTTTGACTAAACGGAAAGATATTTCCAATTACTTACCAAGAGTATTGGTTATTCATAAAACCATTTCAAGAATGGCAGGTTGGTTAATTTAATGAGGTATCAACCTCTGTTGAGTTATTTAATACTGAATACAAGTTTTTTTAGGACAAAATGAATGTTGAATTAATAAAGAGGTAGATACATGACTGGTTTACACTGGAGTCAACAAGTTTATAATCAAGCCTATAAGTATTCACCCAGAAAATGCTTCTTTTTGGGTAGGGTGTTTTACCACTCTACAAGAGAAATAGTGTATTCTAAACCCTGTTAATAGGGCAATTCAAGAAATATGACAATTTGTAAACATAAGAGTTAGAAACAAAATAGAGACTGTTCTTTATCAATGCAAAAATAAGAAGATTTTTGAAAAAGCAAAAGAAATGACATTTGCAATTCTAAACAAATCATTTAAACTGGAATTAGTTTGTGTACTGATGTCTAATGTTATGTGATTAAATTACATCAATGTCTATCAGATGGCGGTTATTATTAGTTAAAAAAAACTATATCAGAACTCTTTTTAAGTCAGGACTTTTGTTAACAATTCAAATATGCCACGTATTTGATGTGAAAAGACTAAAATACCACACTCAAATATATTAGACAATATACTACAGAAAAAATATTTATATATCAAAAACAATTTTAGAAAAGTCTATAACAAAGTGGGAAAATATTTTCATGCGATGTGTTTTGCCATTTAGAACTTCAAACTAAAGTGAAGTTTACATTGATGCCATTACATATGGATATAAAGGAGACGATACTGAAATTTTAGTTTTAAATATGTAGTCTAGCCAATTTCATTTAGTTTCATTTGCTTTGTTTTTATCACTTTTTTTAATAAGTATCTTAAATTGTGAGAATAGAAGATCTGTCAAGAAAAATGAAATGTAAGAACTTGGACATAAATTTACTGTGGATGATTTGGCAATTACAGCACTTTCTATAATTAATTTTGTCTTTGTGAATTACTTTCTCTTAATTAAAGTAGCATTTTTTTTTTAAATTTAAATTATAGTCAGACTCATTACAGTGAGCAACTAATGCAGTGAATCTGTTTTGTAAATGATCCGTTTTGTGTCCACATAATTTTTTACTTTAATTCCTCAATGTGTTCTTTGTGGTAATTATTACAGTAAATTCTTCCTTCAAATTTTAGTTTATTATTTTGTCTTGTATCAGGTATTTTCTTTTAGAAGTAGTTGTAACAAATTTAATAGTTGCTTCTAAGAAAATAAAAGACTTAATTAATGCCATCAATGTAAACATCACTTTAGTCTAATGAAGTCAAAGGCAAAAAATGAGTCCATGAAAATTTTTTTCCACTTTGTCATAGATTTTCCTAAAACAATATAGTACATAAATATTAGAAAATACTTGTTTTGATAGTAGGGCTTAAAATTTAAATCTTGTGTTTAAAAAAAGAAAGAAAAAAAGACAAAGAAAAAAAGAAAAAAGAAAGCAGGTAAATTCGTTTGAATTTATTGCATGTTAGAAGTGGCATCTCATCAAGTAAATTTGTTTCTAAATCTTGAACATAGATTTCATATTATGAAACCTCTATATTTTATTATTATACAAGGAAATAATTTTTCTAAATTCATTAAAATCTCTTTTCAGTAACAAATGCTACTTTCTATGAACAGGTCTAGCTTTTTTTTTTTTTTTTATTATTCATATGAGATCAATACATGAAACACTGAGAAACATTAAAAATTTAATGATTTTAAACAATTTTAAGGAAATTTCTTTAATGCCATGTCCTTTCTGGTTGTATGTATCTGTGGCTCTCCACAGATTCCTTTTCTTCATTATCTATGAATTCCCATGTTTTCTTGGAAAAGAGAATGGTTTACCAATGCCTTCTCATGGTTAGGAACTTCTTTCTCTTAGAATGGTTGCTACCCAAGTCTACTCTCATATTTAACCCATATCTTGGGGAGAAGAGATGGATTCATGCCATTCCCATAGGCCTTAGTGCAAAAGTGAGTGCAACAGATTAGCCTGGAATTTGAACTGCTTTCTGATGCAATATTTGTTACACTATGCATGTATCATCCTATAAGGCAATAATAGATTTGATAAAAGATCAAATTTTGATTTTGGAGAAAAATCTAGTCAAACCTGTGAAAATTATTTAACATGCAAAAGAACAATGTTCAAATTAATTAAAGCAAATTATACACAAACACAATTGTAAAGACGTTTTTTTTTCCCTATTTTAAACAACCAGGAATGATTGTTAACACGTTTCATTGAAAAAAGTATCATTTTCTATAAATATTTCATGGTAATTGTTTTGATGAACTTTCCTCTCTGGTACCTAGAATTTATGAATTTAAGTGCAGCAGGATCTCATCGTTTTACAGTTTAAGTGACTACATGTAAGTTCTATGTTGACAGTTTCTTCACTTACACTTCTTGCTTGTGGAACTATTTTGGCTTATTGCTTTCCAGTCAACTTTAATCTTCAAAAAGTTAAAGGCAATGTCAATTGTTATCTTCTTAATTCCTGTTTTTATTGTTCTCTCTCCTTGTTTTTTTTTCTTTTTTTCTAATATTCTCTCACACGTAGTAACCACTTGTGTCTTAGTGGCTTTATTGCCTTGAAATGATTTTAAAAAATCCTCTGCAGAAGATGTACAAAAATCAGTTTAACAAAAGAAAACATCTATGGAAAAAGAGAAGTTTTTCTGTTTAGATTTTCAACCAACCAAATATAATTCAGCCTATACCAAGTTAGATGACAGCATATGGCTATTGAAAAAGTGTAGCATTAAAAGTTAACTGGTGGTCTAAAATTTATCTTAAGGAAGGAAACATTCCTAAGTGTGCCTACTTTATAAATTAAGCTTTATCATGGGTATGCAAGTAGAAAAAAATAAAAAGGCTTTAGTACAATCTGTGGTTTCAAGTATCTGCTGATAGTTAGGATACTTGACTACTGAAATGTGAATTTTGTTAGAAATATTTCATTCCAATTTTGGTATCAAAATCAACATATATAACTGCAAAGATGAATTCAAAATGTAGAAAAAGAACAAATTTGGATTCCTGATGACAACTATTTTTTCTATTCAAAAGTGAATCTAACAAATACTTTGAAGTTTTCAAAGTTTAAATTTACTATGTTTTCATGGTTTCATTTACTAAGAAAACAATGAACAACCAGGATTGCAACCTAAATGCTAAATATACAACTGATGTTGTTGATCAAAAGATGAGTTGGTGTTCTGTGCCCTTACATGCAAAAAAAAAAAAATTTCCAAACAGCATACAAAGCAGCCAATGTAAGCAAGTTTCACATTTAGTAGGAAATAAAACAAAACAAAACAAATGCAAAGCAGTAGCGAAAAGGATAAGATAGCATATTCACGGGTACTTTTCGAGTTGATCCCGGAGTGGGGGAGCCAGAAGCTCCAGGTGATGCCCGAGGGGAAGGAGTTCCCTTGGAGACGCCAGGAGATGAGCGCAGTGGGGTTTCCTGACAATATAAAAGTGCTTTGTTATTGAAGGGAGGGGGAAAAAAAAAAACTTTAAAATTAAAAAGCATATTAGTCAATTTACCAAAGAACCAACAAAAACAATACATTTACAAAATCACTGCAGTCTTTTTCTTTTTCAATATTTTTGAAAACAATACTATAAAGAAAATCTCTAATAACGCATATCAAAATCAAGATGTTGATAAATTCTCTTTAAATATTTAATGCAGACTTGAGTGTAATTTTCTGATAAATGGCACCAATTCTTATAAGTTGGAAACACATTCACCTTCAGAAAACATAAGAACTTTCTCTGTAATATTCTAAGCTCTAAATAGCACAAAAAAGGTTGATAAGCTGTAAAAAAACAAATCAATTAATCTATCAACAAAAACATAAATCATGTCTTTGTCGATTGATATGTTTTTTTTTTACAATGTATTAACCCCTTATGTGTTATTTAGAACTGAAACATTTTGGAGTGTGTGTGTGTGTGTATATATTTGTTAGTGAATACTGCATTAACATTTTTTTCTTTATGTAGAGATAACATTGATTTTTCCAGGTACAAGTCCTACTATTTTACTCATGGCTGGGGGAAGGAGATGGATTCGTTCCTTCCGCAAAGGTATTTGCGCACAAGTTAATGTAACAAACTTGACAAATTTGAACTCAGCTCTCCGATTTCTCATTCTAAGTTGCAATCCATTATACCACCCACGCATCCTGTGTGAATACTGACTGGTTAGTCGTTATTTCAAAAAAAAAAATAAATAAATAAAAAAAAATAAATAAATAAAAAATAGAATATAAAGCAAAAGCAATTCTTTCTCAAAATTATATGAAAAGTGCTCATAAATTTTCTTAGCAATAATAAAGAGCTTCAGGTTTTCTTCCCATTGCACAGACTTTATTTTTATAGAAGATATTGTTGAATCCATGTAAAAACATCCTTTTGTTCATCTTTATAAAACAAGGATGGAAGGAATTTGGGTAAACCATGCATAAACAAGTTATCACACCAGTTACAGAGCCTGAAATTACCATGAACTAATCTGTTTTTTGTTTTTTAATTGAAAATACTAAGTTTATTTAACATATTTTGAGGACGGTGGACATTAATTGGTTATAAGCAGAATATCAGATTTAATGGCAGACATTAATAGATTAATCCAAAGAGCATAATAAATTCATGAAAGGACTTAAGAGCCTTTTCTGAAAAGCTTCGTGTGAAATATTAAACATTTGCAATCTTGTTTTTAGGTTGCTACAGATTCAATGGGCTTTGACAACTGTTGATTTGAAATCAGCCTACTGAGAAAATGGTGGAAATACAAATTGGTGAATTGCAATGCCAGACAGAATGTATGGGGATTTGGACTGAATTGTTGACCAAAAATAATACCAGTCATTGTCAAAATGAAACTGGGGAAAAGTGGTTTAAATGAAAATGGTTACTACTACTCCCACTATATATATATATATATATATATATATATATATATATATATATATATATATATATATATGATGAATGAGGCAGAAGGGACAACAGTTGAGATAACTGAACATTTTTGGAAGAATTGGTTTTTCAAAGAGGAAATAAAAAAATGAAAGACAATGTATTTAGGCAGGAAGTGTTCTCTATATGCAAAAGTTAAGCAGACCACTAGTCTATTGTTGGATGGTTCCAAAGTGCATGTAAGAGTTAAAGCAGTGATCAGAGAAGATCATGTATTGAAAAGGAGAGTTGCTATGAGATATTGCAGAAAGTATGAGAAAAGATGATCAAGTGAGATGGAATCTGTATGCGACTAAATCAGAAAAAGGGATTATATGATAGGATGCTAGTAGTGGACATTGTTTTAGAGAGAGGGCTGGTGTTAAGGTGAAGAAGAATCTGGATATGTCTGTGAATTCTGACAGGAGCTAATAACTGAATTTAGCCTAAAGTTGTATGTCATGGTCATGATTTTAAGGAAGAATAAGGTGGATGCTTTACACCAGAGTGAGGAAAACTTGGTTGATACAGAGCACCTAGAAACAGGAGTGGCTGCAGTGTGCTTTTTGGTTTATTTTAGGTTATATATTTTTTTTAGCAGCATATCAACTCTTGAGGGTTATTTAATTCAGAAACCTATTTTGGGGGCAGTGTTTGCGTAAAATTTATACTTACGGTTCAGTGGTGTGTTTTGGAGGTGATTTAGCATATTGGTTGGCTTGTAAATGAGTTGGTAAGTTTTTTTTTTTTAAATTATATTTAGATGATGTAAGAAAGAAGGTTATTTGGTTGGCAGAAAGAGTTGTGATAGGTGTGAATCAATTGAGTCGACATTGAGTGCATAAGAAAAGAGAAATTCAGATGAAAGACAACTGGAAAAGATTAGCTGTTGATAATACTGGAGGTGCTGCAAGACGTTACATTTGGAGAGGTGTCCAATAGATGAAGGGTTAATGAATAATAACACTGCCTTTTTTTTTGGAACCATTGAAAAAAGGTACTTTCTGGGTGAAACCTTAAGAGTGCGCACAGACATAGATGCATCTGTATGAACAACTATGAGATGGTGAGATTAAGCCAAATTATTTCAATTATAAATAGTTATAAATATAAATGCATATTTGTTGTTGTTTTAATCTTTTTAACTGTTCTCAACTTTATCATTGCATTGATTTTTACATAGGAAAAAGGTATGCAAAGCAAAAGGTGAATCCCTGAAAAGTGTTTGGTGAATATAAGGTACATGAGGTGGAGGGAGAGAGAGTGTGGCTATATATTTAGAAAAGAGAATTGGCATAAAAAGGGCAACGAATAAAAAAAAAAATCTGACATGGAAGCATTGGTTTTTGAGTCTACCAAAATTCTTTCCCCTTTTATTTGGCCACTAAAACTGAGTTACACTTTCATGCCATCAAAATCGGCTTAAGACATTTAGTGAGCAAACTCTGCTTGGCTGATTGGTTTCCTTTTTCTCATTTAACTACAACCAATTTTTTTAAAGGGCACTGAAATTTTTGATAAAACTTGAAATATAGCATATTAACCCTAGAACAGTAACCATGGGTATATAGTACCCAGTACAAATTTTCCTATTTTTAATTACAATTTTCAGTACCTGATTTTCTTACCTAAATAATGTTTTTCAGTTCCTATTAATGTTAAATCAAAGTACAAAGTTTGTAGTGCCTGCATGTAAAATATTTCAAATAAAAGATATTTAATATTTTTTTTGATATTTTCAAAATCAGGTATGATATACCCATGGTTAGTAGTGGTGTAACTTTAATTGATGGTTAATGTTCTAGGGTTAATATGAAGTTTATCAGGCACTGAAATGGTCTCCATATATTTCTAAAGATATTTACATAATAAAGCATAATTAATTTTTATTGTACAATTTGGTCAATTTTAGTTTAACTATTTGCGTAGTGTAGTAACAGGTGATGGAAAATGTGATAAAAATTCAAAGGCAGATTGAAATGGCAAAAAATGTCTTCCAAAAACTAATAAAAGTACTAAGAAAATGTCATGAATATCCTTCTGCATGGCAGTGAATGCTGGACAATTCTGTTACAGATGGAGGAGAGACTCAAAATGATGAAGATGTGGTTCTATAGTCAGATGCTGAGAATATCATGGATTGAACATGTGAGCAATTAAGAGGTTTTAATAGTAAACAGGATCTAGAAAGAAACTCATACTTTATATCAGAAAGAAAGAATTGAAATTTCTGGGACACACGAGGAAAGAAGATTTGAAAATTCAATATTCACAGAACATATTGAAGGAAAGAGGTAGCAGAAAACAGTAACTTATATAACAAATTTGTGTGAATAGATGGCATATTAAAGACAAGGAAGGATAAATGCTGCTTAGAGCTATGAGGGACCAAGATGGCACATAAATGATGATGATTTTGTTTACTGTCTGATCAATGTTACATAAGTTATTAACAGTAATATAAGCTAGCATTTTTTTTTTAATAATTAAAAGATATTTAAATTATTTTTTGCTTTTATCTAGAATTTAATGTTTGGGGAAATCATTTTAAAAAATTCACAGAAACAAAAAGAAACTTCAACATTGAAGGAAAAAGAGAAAAAAAAATACAGCATTGATTGTAATCTGGGCGAGTGCTCTCCGTTGAACTTAGTTCGATTATGGAGAAAAATGTATGTGCCTAATGAAAAGAGCTCTTTTCCTGTGGCAATACATTTTTAAGAATAATTGAAGAAAAAAAAAAAAAAAATGAATTCTAAATACACACAATATGCAGTGGAGCAAGTCACAAAGATCTAACTTGACTAGAGCTCAGTGAAATATGTAAGTTTTAAGGGTATTTTTTTTTATTTAAGGATTTGGTCTTTATAGTTTAAAGTTATTTAAAACTAGAAAATATTTTTAGATCATAAGAATTTGCTTTTTTTTTTTTTTTTTGAGATAATGATTTAATGATACAAGCCTTGTAATTAACCCATAGCTGGGGGTGGGGAGAAGAAGTGGATTCATATCTTTCACAAGAGTATTTGCATGCAAGTGAATATAATGAACCCGGCTGATTAGCAATTCTCAGCCATTATCCATTACACCATCTGTGTATTCAAGCTTACAGCATCTGGCATTCCCAAGTGATCTTCGATCTAGGTACTGACCAGGCTCGATATTGCTTAACTTCGGTGATTGTATGGGAGCTGGTTTGACATGATATGGCTGTAAGCCATTTAAGTTTAATTTAACAAATATCAATTAGTCTCTTTCAGGAAGAATATATAAAATATTACTATTATAATTCAAGTCAAATTTCACTATATATATATGACGTATTTAAAAGATAGCTTAGTGCTGTACTTTCTGATGTAAGTTTTCCATTTTTTATTCCATTTAGAGAAACAATTTCATAGAGCATAAAATATTCAAAAATTTTGTAGATGGTTTAAAATTCATCTATGATTTTGGTAATGAAAGCAGAGAGAGAAATATCACTAACTTAGACTCCAACATTTTTTTATAAGTGGTATATTAGACACAAACAGAACGATGCATGCTGTCAGTAAGAAAGAAAGAAAAAATGGTTTTCGTTTAGCTCCTGAATGCTCCAAGAAGCAGAATAAAAACTGCTGTAAACATTTCACACAAAAGAAGGTGGGGTAAAGTGAAAACAAAGCATGTATGCGAAAAAAATGACACATACCGATCCACAGCCTGGCGCTGGTTGTTTTGCAAGCTGACTTTGTTGTCGCATCAAGAAAACTTGTTCATCTTCAGCAATAACCTCCGCATCTTTTTGAATAGGCTTTACAAAGAGAAAGAAAAGTTAAAAAGAAAATGTCAGAACAGTTTTTATCAATACAAAGTTGACACTAAAAAGCCCCAAGCTGACATTTTATATGTACTTGCAGAGCACTTTTTAATAAAAAAAAAAAAAAAAAAAAAAATAAAATGGACAAATCCCTTTCCTCTAATAGGGCAATTTAAGGTCTTAACTATTCAGTATATATTCACTCAATACTTTATTTCAGAGAACCAAAAAACATGTACATACTCATGTCAATTTCTTTTTTTCAAGTGTTGTATGGAGAATTATTACATGACAGTTGTAGCAAAACAGAAATAATGCTTCTCAGCTAAAAATCTTAGAAAAAAAAAAAAAAATTAAAACTGCTGAAATAAACCCTTATTTTTTTGAAAATGAAAAGACAGAAAATTAGACAGCTCAGCAAAGAAAAAAAAATGTTTTAAGCTAAAATTTCTTATTAAACAACAACTCTATTTTACCTTCCTTACAACTGGTTTACTCAAGACATCCTCGTAAAGGTCCTCAGGTTTCACACTTGCCAGGTTCTCATTTAGAATAGATATTTTCTTTTCTGTATCCCAACCAGCAGGACTAAATTGGAGGAAATAAGACAAAGAAATAGAGAAAAAAAAAAAGAATTTGAGAACGATTCAGATATTTATTTATAATTATATATGAAAGTTATCAGTGAAATACTACTCAATGTGCAGGGTAGCATATATATTAGTATGGAAATTGGCATTATGGTACCTAGACTGAATTTAAGCACACTACTAGATTGGCAACAAGGTTTCATTTTACAGTTGAAATGGCTAGATATAGATGTAAATTCTATACAAACAGGTTCTTCTCTTGCACTTCTCAAAATGTAAATGCAATGTCAATCATTATCTTCTGTCTTCTTAATTCTTGTTCCTTTATTGTTCTCTCTCCTTAATAGTATTTTTTCTCAGTCTCTAACATTCTGTAACTCCTTTAGTCTTAGTGGTGGTATTGCCTTGCTTTGGATGAGATGATTAACAAAACAAAAAAAAAAAAAAAATTGGATAAAACTGGTATTATTGCTGTTTAGGTGTGTAAACACCGATTTATTCATGTATATTAGTAGTCTTTCAATATTATCAAAGTAGTAAAAGTTCTATTAAACCATATCAGGTCTTTCCTGAGAGTCAATATTTGTAATTTATATTTCTCATAATAGTGGTGTGGAACAAACATTTGTAGTGTTTTTCAATAGGTAGCATTTGAATACATAACTGTTTCACATATGACTGAAATTTATGACTTACATATTCTAGTGACATTTCAACATGTTTTTCTATATGAACCATGTATGGATTGTGATTTTTAAATGTTTTATGTTAAAAGAAATAGAAAATGACATGCATTTTTGTCATTTGATGCTTTTTTTTTTTTTTTTTTTTTTAAATTTATTTCCAGAAAGGAAAAAACATTGTACAGCAAAAAGCAAAATATGTAGATGGTTCCATAGCTGGGAGGAAGTGGTTTGTTAGTTTCAGAAGTGGAAATTTTCATCTGAAACACAGAGAATATTTCAGCAGACTTACAGTTATTAATGATGTTCAAGTCAAATTGCTGATTAAAACTGATCCAGGTCACGTGATACATGACATCAGAGATACTCACAGTAGTATTATAAAGCATTTGAAAACACATGGATACATTAATTGATACAATATTTCAACACTTCACTATTTAACAAAAAATGAATGTAATGCAATTTTTTAAAGTAATTGATCATGGACAATGAAAAACAGATTGATTACAACAATGTGGAGTGAAAATAGTTCTGGGAAAAAAGAAAATGAAAAATGAGCCACTGTTAACCACTCTGCATCTGGAGAAGGTGGTGTCATGTATTTAGTGGGATTGGAAAGGCATTGCATAAGCTTCTGCAAAACCAGATGTTAAATTCAGAGAGCTACTGTTCCCTAATGGACTAATTAAAAGGTAACAATTGATGAAAAGCACCTGGTCTAGAATTGGCAAATTGAAAGGGCCTGTCTTCCATCAGGACAATGCTATACTTCACATCTTTTTTCAAAACAGGCTGAAATTGGTAAAACTTGAGATCTTATAGCCCTCTTTCCATCATTGTAAAGAGTGGTCCGAAAGTCTTGTCCCCCCATATAATATCATTTTCTATTTCAGATGGCTAACACGAAAATGATGGTGTTCATACAGACCTCCTTGATGTATGACAGTGTCAATGAAAGTGAATAAACTGAATCCATGTGTTTTGTATTACTGTTGTTCTATTGTTCTCATAACTTTGACAAGTGGGGGACAAGACTTTCGGACCGCCCTGTACTCAGCACTTGTTTTGATTACTACAAAATTCTCTTAATGGGAAGAACTTAAATTCTCTGGAAGTCTGTAAAAACCATTTAGACCAGTTCATCACGGAGAAAGATGCTAAGTTCTGGGAAGATGGTGAAACAGAATGGCACATGTGGTCAAATGTAAAAATACCTAAATACCGTCTTTCAAATCCACTCAAAAAAATGCTTTGAACTTTTGTTCTGACCCAATATATTATTACTAAATAAATCTTATGGAATTATTGATATTCAATCAGTTGTCTGGAAAAATTTCAATTTTTGGAATGAGAAAGGAATTTTACTTACACAAACACAGAATCTTTTTCCACTACATATGCTGGCATTGAGAATGAAAATCCATATATCCTGTGTACTAAATACTTAAATAGAAGATCACAGTTCTTTTCCTCCTTAACAGATGTATATATGAGGGCAGCACCATCTGAAAGTTAGGCAGTCAAAGAAAAACATTTTTTTTTTTTTTTTTTTAATGTTAAGTATGAAGCAAGAAAATGAAAATAAATATTATTATCAATCTAATTGATATTAGATTAAATTATATGATAGGATAAGGAAAAAAATAGGAAACATAAATTTAACATGTTTTGCTTTTATTTAAGCTTCATCAGAAATGACACTTGGAGAAAAGAATTCTGGTATTTATTTTATTTTTGTGTTTGTTTTACATTAGTTAAATATTAAAATTCTTTTCTCCTCCAAGTGTCATTTCTGACGAAGCTTAAATAAAAGCAAAACATGTTAAATTTATAAACATTTCCTACTTTTTCCTTATCCTATCATTCTGTCAGATAATATATAGTGTATATTTAGGCAGCAATTTTTCATTAATGCATATTTCATTAAATAATATAGACAAATAATTTTAAGTATTATCATTGACGAAAGATGAAAGGAAATGAAAGGAAATCACATATTGATACATGTTTAAATCCAATCTAAGCTTTCGGCTTACATAAGCCATTATCAAAGATGACAATTACATTTCAATATATCAAACAACACACGGACGAAACAATAATGATTGTTTTTGTTGCATGAAAAATTTCAAAGCAACGACAAACTCATGTATATGAGACGCGGAAGCGAAAATCGCATCGCAGCTTGGGACGTCACACATGACCACACGAGAGTGAAAATGAGAAGTATTAAGTATGGAAAACCATTGGTATTCCTATAAGTGATAACAGAAGCCAGTGGTTTATACCAATGGCTTCCCATAACAATATATATATATATATATATATATATATATATTGGAAACAGTTATTGGGTGGCAGGAAAGAATAAGTATGAAATTACAAATCAGTTAAGCAGAAGTCACCATGCTTGATATCAACACTGCCTGACTGAAATACAAGTTTTTGAACTATGAATAAGTACAAATGCATCAAAATTTGTAAAATAGGCCCAAACATGTAAATTAGAATTCAAATGTTCAGTTTAAATTAATTTTTTTTTTTCAAACCAATCTTATTGTTACTAAAAATCTATAGGTAAAAAGATAAATATAAAATGGTGAACTTGGTTTCAAAGGGTTAAGTCATTAAACTATAGCACTCTCATGAACAGTTAAAAATCTGAGTGTTGTTTGGGAACTTTGTGGCACACTATTTGCATCAGTTCTTTCTATTTGGTTGGTTCTGTACAAGCCTTTAGCACTATAATCAAATCATATGTGCAAGCAGTCTGGCTGTTTGCTTCTAATAACTTTGCTGCTGTTGTATCTTCATATGTCAAAAACAATAAAAGTCCAGTGTATGTGAGTGTGTGTGTGTAATTACACCAATGTACCTTTCAAGTTTCTCAAAAAGTGAAAACAGATAATAGTCTGTTGTCCCAGGTGCAATGAAATTGCATTTGATTTTTTATACAATAAGTCTTTCATTCTATAATCAATGTATTGAATTTTATTACCATCTGTTTACAAGGTGAACAAACATCTATATACAATCTTATATTGCATATGGAATTCTTAATTTTAAAGACAGTGTGTTATTGAAGATACAGACAAAGAAAGAAGTGTAAATCAAAGATTTAAGCTTAGACTAAGAGTGGCTTTTAATAATTTTGACAAGATCTATTGTCATCATTAAAAGATTGTAATGCACAACATGCATCAAGAAGTAGAAGAGTGTGAAGAAATCTTTACATTTTAATCTTTACTTAATTTACAACTGAGTTTTTGTGCAATGTCTTCAGATAAAATGCATATATAATAAAATTTTAGAAGTGATAAACAAAAGGAATTTAAATACAGGTACAATAATTATTTTATAATTTTTTTTTTTTTTAAAATTTTGGGAAGAAAGTCAAACATGTGCTGATATTTTGTGTGATTATGAAATAATAAAAACAATTTTCTACAGAAAGGATACAGTTTAAACAAAACTTCCTCAAATGTTGCTGGATAAAATCAAAATGTTCTTCTTTGTAGTCATGTTCTTTTTCCAAAACAGTAATACCATCAGTCTGGAAAAATAAAATTATGAGAACATAATAAACACTTTTGCAATTAATTGAAAAGAAACAGTAATGATTACAAATTCAATACTTGGCTTTAAGAAAATTTAAAATTTGGAAAAAAAATAAAACTTTAACTATAAATTTAAAAAATAAAACTAATATATAAAATTCAAAGTATAAACATTTTTTTCACAGCCATTTATTGTTTTACAATTTAAATCTTATTTCCTCCACACACTCCCAAGAAAATTTGATCTTGAGAAAAAGAATTTTGGGAAAAATTAAATAAAATTTACCCTAAACCTATTCAGATATCTTCATAACCTTTATACACTGATAAGGAACTAAACTGGTTCAATAAATTCTAAAAATGCTGTGTGTGTAGTCACAATACATGACCCACTGCCATATATATATTACATACATACACACACAGTGACAAAGATACTCTTTATATACTGGTGTTTTTCTTGTTTTTTTTTAGTTGACATGTGGGAGCACAAAGTTTTTGGAAATTACAAAAATTTTCAGCTACTCCTGTAGCCATCATCAGTGCTTGATATTAAATATATATATATATATATTTTTTTTTTAAATTTTGAACTAGGTTAAATTTCAAATCTAACAGTCATTAATGACTTCAAGTTGTAAATCACCAGTCCTTTGAACTCATCCTTTTACCCTCATGTTGGTCAGAGTCTTTTACTCCAATTAAAGGATGTCAACTATAAGTAGGTAGGTATGTGGCTAAAAACTGTCTTACTTTGTTTTATTATAGATTTTGTGTGTGTATTAGCCTAAACTGTCAAATAGAAAAAAAAAGAAAGAAAAGAAATTTATTCATTTAGAAACTTGTTTGTAATACAGAACAGTGGTAGCATGAATCATCACACATGCACTTTTTAAATAAAAGTGAAACATGTTAAATTGATAAACATTTCCCTGTTCTTTATTTTATCACACTTTATATAATGTTACATGTGGCAATGTCTTCTGGTTGACATTTTTGATAATTCCCAAACTAAAAATAATGATATCAACTTCATCTTACAAATACTTTTTTTGCAAATGTGAATCTATACAGGGTTGGAGTGTTAGTCTAATGACCAACTTGGATAGTCTTACAGAGTGAAAGGAAGCTCTAATTGACCTACTATTTTACCCATAGCTAGAAGGAGAAGTAAATTCATGCCTTTCTAAAAGGTTAAAATGTGAAGAGAATACAAACTGTCTAGGCCAATTTGTAAAATATTTTTTTCATAGTCAAATTCCTCATTCTTCTGGGTAGACCTTGTACAATTGAGATTATTCACATGATTTCCCATCCACCTTTAGAAATCTATGCCATTAATATATATTTTCTGATGTTATCTGTGAAATCTTCAAAGATTTTTTTTTAAAAAATATTAGGTGATTTTTAACATTTTTTTAAACATTTACATCTGAACTTTATTTCGGAATATCACTAGTCCCATATTCTGATCCAAGGTGAAACTGTCAAATCAGGCATGGCTGAACATATATATTCAAAAAGGAAGAAAGCTAATAATAGTCTTTAGAATAAGAACAAACTAAAATCTCAAAAACGTCTATGGAAAGTACATACTATGAATATTAAATTTGGTAATATACTGAAAAATCTTTCAGACTAATATTTTAATTACTGCTGCCAAATCTAATACTCAGATTGTGATCTAAATAAGAGAGAGAGAAATCTTAGGAAAGACTGATGAAAAAAATCAACCCAAACAGTAATAAAAAAAGATTAGTCACAGAATTTTAGACACTATGATATCAAAAAATAAATCTAACCTTCATGACATTTTGTATTCATAAATTTCAGGAAATTAACAAAATTTGACTGAAATGAGTGTATGCTCAGTTACACAAACTCTAAAGCTATAAATCCCAAAACCTTAATATTTTTGATGCCACAGTACAGTTTAGCTCGCCTCTCACCCACATAGGATATAAATAACATACTGTAATATAGGTGGTGGCATGGGTACAATACATTAGGGGATTACATCAGTTGAAATAGTATCAAACTAGATAAAAGGGTAAAGAGTTTAAAAACCCAATGAAAAGGATTTAGTATCTATTTTGTTTGAAACTAACAAAGTAGTAATAATCTGGTAGACGTAGACAGAGTAAACTGGTTAGGTGGCTAAAATAGGAATTTCTATCTTTCAAAAAAATAGAAAGAAAACAAGGATTCATCATATTGCTTTTAGCTTACCAAGAGAAAGGCAAAAGTAGCAGCATTTACCTTTTTAGAAGACTTTTCTGAAAGAGTTAGCAATGATAATTTTGAATTAAAGATTTTAACAAAAAGTACCTGAATACAAGATTAAGAGAAAACAGCTGTTAGGACAGGAAAGGGGGGAAAAAAAAAAAAAAAAAAAAAAAAATCAATGAAAAGGTGTGGTTATGAAAATTATGAAAAAAGACAGGTGCGTTAAAGAAGTTCAATATTATCTGACATTTTCTATAACAGAAGCATTATTTTTATTAATAAATTATTTCAATGTTAAAGACAACAAATATATTGATGAAATAACTTTCTAATGAACTTAAACCATTCTCAGAGTAACATGAAATTGAATCTTTTTATATTTTGAACAGCATAATCATGTGACATTATCTGCATATATACAATATTTTATACCACAAATGATTTCTCTATTGTAAATAAGAGCAATACAGGCTAAAAAGATAGTTGACAGTATTTTCTGATGAGAAAACATAAGAGTATGTATTTGTAGATAAATGCTGAATGTTTTAGATATTTTTCAGTAGATTGCAATTTTAAAAAAGTTGCAAACTTGGCAAAAGAAACAGTATAAGAACCAAAGAAAATTTTAGTTTTTATTGCTCATCAGTATTAATTGCTAGTGCAAAACTAGGAGGAACAAATATCTTCATAATGAAAATTACTCTAAAATTGTTTTGCAGTATTCAAATATCAAGGTTCTGCGATCTGTTTAGTGTGTAAAAGACTCAAGTTGCCTTCAGTAATTTTTGAAAAATTTGGACAGATTTATTTTATATTTCTTTTAATCGAACCTTGAAAACTTTACTAAAATAAAAAATTTAAAAAAAAAAAGAAAAGAAATTTAATGAGACAATATCTTTATAATAATGAAAATACTATCTTTCAAACAGATAATACAGCAGATAAGTTTATCTCAGAGTGTGTCTGTACAAGAGACGAAATGAAAAACTATTAGCTGACACATTTCGTCCTCTGAGGGACTTTATCAAGGCAAAGATAAAGTCATTGATAACTTGATAAAGTCCCTCAGAGGACAAAACATATCTGCTAAAAAGTTTTCTCTTGTTTCATATATATTAAGATAATCCTAAAGGAGCCAGGCTAACCTACCTAGGTTTCACCTAAATGGACATTCAAGGTAATCCTAGCCAGGATTACCCTGAAGATTCGTTTAGGTGAAACCTAGGTAGGTTGGTCTGGTTCCTTTAGGATTATCTTAGGTTTTGCTCTATTTAGTGTATTAAGTAATTTATGTAGTTGTCTTTTTACTTGATTTGGATTTTTTTCTTCTTTGGACTTGGAGCTTGAACACTGGACAATTGTTTTTACCTTGGTTTTGTTCTTGGTTTTTTTTTTTTTTTTTTTTTTACTCCCCATTTTTCCCCGGGTACCGATTTGTTCTCCTGCAAGTTGAGCTATCCAAACAAGTACCACCATTTATTTATGTGTGTGTGTGTGTGTGTGTGTGTGTTTGTGTGTTTATAAGTTATTTTTTTTTTATAGATAACCAGTTGCTTTCTCTGTAGTTAAACAGTATAGCACATCAAGTTATATGACCGTTCCATCTAGGATACAGGTTTGATTCCTGTCTGAGGACACGTATTTTCTATGAGATTTCTCGGATATTCAGGCCTGTAAATGTTGTTAATACTGTTTATTATAAACAGAGCATTTACTTAAATATTTGTATCTATAATTTCACTTTTAGTGTGTGAATGTAAAATGTTGCTTTTTGCTTATGTTTAATGTGGGGGTGCAACAGAAGCAAATCAGTGAGACTTAAAATAATCATGAAATAGATGCAAACATCAGGAACAAATCATGAAAAAAAAAAAAAAAAAAAAAAAAGATTTTGAATTCAAGGAAAGAACGTGGAAGGACTGGGAACTTGAAAAGTGATGAATTGGAAGAATTTTTGAAGTTTAAACATGTGAGATTACAGAAAAATCATAGGTGAAGTCAACTGTAGTACATTATTGACAAGGCCAAGTGAAATTTCAGAAGCTAGAACAATAGTTTTGACATCAACTTATATTTGCAAGTTTGTAAAAATTAATCTTTTTTGTGCTCAACACTGGAGTCATTTTTGGACAAAATAGTGCATTGTTGACAAAAAAATGGATTTATTATAAGATTTCCAAAATTAAGAAAATTGTAGCTAGATTCAAAACAGGTGTTATAACATCTCATGTAGAATTAGTAGGAAAAAATTAGGATTCAATACATTTTTTTTTGTTTTTAGAACATGGATAAACTTCACAAAGCTACAGTGAGCAACTGATTTGGTTAAAGGGTGCATTAGAAAAAAAAAATGAGGAGAGCAGTGGGGGAGGTTCTGAGAAAGGAAATCCACCCATGATTTTGCTACATGACAACAGCTGTCCTCCTGTTGCAAATCTGATACAGTAAATGTAGGTACCTCCACGAAATCGTTAAAAAAAGAGCATAGCTTAATGAAAAAGACGCCAACCTTGCCGAAAACAAAATTTTATTGTCTAAATGCTTATGTTATTATTAAGAGGAAAGACCAAAGTTTTTTTTTTTTTTTTGTTTTTTTTTAATTATTTTAAAAAAATTTTCCTTCTTTTTAGAACATTCTAAATTTTGATTAAAAAAACCTTGTTTCTATTTGTATCAGCAGAACTAGTAAATAACAGACAATTTTTAGCACGTTTTTTTTGGTATGACACACATTAATTTGAAAAATCGTGCAAAAATAGAAATAATTATCGGATGTTAATGAAACTTTCAGGAACTATTCACAGATGATCGAAATTATTATAAATGTTTTTTTATGAAAGTCATGGTAGAAATATTTTTTAAAAATATTTATTACCCCCCATAACTAATTTTATGAAAACGCTAGAAATTCGATCGCATCGGTTTTAGTGATTACAATAATTAAAAGCACAGGGCTTTGAGGAATGCAAATCATGTTTTTTTTGTTTTTAATTGATATGCAGTACCTGAAAATCAGCTCTGAATTGTAACATACAAAACTCAATAAAACAAAGATATTATTTAATTTCAAATGCTTTTATTTGCTTTTAGTTGTTTTTATGAATATGGACAATATTTTCTGAAAGCAAAAAAATTTTTTCGATGAAAAATGAATTTTTAATACAATTATTTGTTATTTCATTAATTATAATAGATTTTACATTTAAGTTGTTAAAATATTATAAAATTAGTTAAAAGTCAAGATCGGCTTTCATAAGTGTCCTTATGAGATATATCTTTTTTTAGCGCGCGTTGTAAATTGTATCATTTTGACTAATCAGAAGATCCCCAGTAATTAAGAAATGTAATTTTGTGCTTATAATCGAGCTGTAATTATAAAATACAGAAGACCAACCAGAATATAATTAAGTTATTTATTTGAGTTAAGCATTGTTCTCTGCTGTTAAGGCCTTTTACTTTTGTGAAACACGTGTGGAGAAGTTAATTTGATTTTTCAATTTCAACTGAGAAGGGTACCTACAAGTATCAGTATCATCTTATGAAATTTATATGATCTTATTTTTATATTAATCTCAGTTACGACATTTTTCCATAAATGAAATATCAAAATTAATAATAAAATGAATGCAAATACAAATAACAGTAGAATGTAATAAATGTACATAAAATTATAGTATTTTATGTACAATTCTGATAAAATTTCATAAGAAAGGTACCTATAAATTAATTAGATACCTTTCTTAAGAAATTTAATGTCACTCTTAACAGTTTTATTTTAATTTCTTTAGAATATATTTCCCATAAAGCATCATAAACGTAAAGGTGAAAGCTAAGTACAAAAAAAAAAAAAAAAAAAAAAAACCGCTGAAAGTTTTAATTAAAAATAACGGGGTAAATAATTTGTTCAATGAAATGTAAATTATTTCACTTTTCTCCTTCCATAGAACAAATTAGCCTCATGGAATTAAGAAATATATCATTCATCACATGTCAAGAGACGCGAAAGTTTCTGACCTGCTTTGTTTTATTTTCAAATTACATGTTTTTTTTTGGCACAAAAAGCTAAGTTAAGTTTGGTTCAAAATATTTTAAATAAACATTATAATTTCTGATTTTCTTAAAATAAGTTTTGAAAAAATGATAATTGATATTTAAAAAAATTTCAAAGTCAGATTTCCAGTTTTTTAAAATGGAAAAAATGTACAATTTTGCTGACTCAAAAAAAAAAAAAAAGATTTTTAACGAAAATTTCAGACATGCTAGAAACGTTTAAAAATGTAAAAAAAATACCCCCAAAATACTTTGATCTTTTCCTCTTAATAATAACAAACATTTAGACGATAAAATTTTGTTTTCATCAAGTTTGGCGTCTTTTTCATCATGCTATGTTCTTTTTTTAGCAATCTCGTGGAGGTACCTAAGTAAATGATCATGGTGCCAAAATAGTAAGTTCTTGCACATGTGGTGTATTCTTCAGATTTGTCACCTGTTTGACTATATTGCATGTTTGCTCAGCATTTATAAAAAAAAAATCTATCAAATCAAAATTAGAATACACAACTTATGTGAAGAGTGTAGTAGACCAGAGAAAGCCAGGGAAACACTATAATGATTCATAAAAAAAAAAAAAAAAAAAAAAGGTGGGGGTGGTAAAAGCAAAATGTTAGAAACTTTTGCACCCATACATAAAGACGAGAGACAGAGAAAAATAGTAATACTCACTTTTGTCACTACTACAACAACTGGTATCCCTAAATTACAGTTGAGTGTGTTCTCTGGTAAAGGAAGTAGCACGTTTTCTTCTTCGGTGGGGCCAGCTGGGGAGGGATGAAGAGGATTGAAGTCTCGGCGCGAATGGGGTTGACTCACATTTTCACCACCTTCTTCAGGTTCAGTATATTCTTGGAAAAATCTCACCACTAGAAATAAAAAATAAATAAATTTTTAAAAAATTACAAGATTAAAATAAAAGTGAGGCATTTTATTTACTGTTAACCCTTTGGAGATGGAGCCCCATTTAAAGTTTCAGTGCCAAGACAGCCCTTTTCGCGTACCTTTACTTGGGAGACAAAAAAAAAAAAAAAATCGATGTCAAATCACAGAACACAGTAAACTATCATAGAAACCACCATTGAAAGGCCCAGATGTATAAGAAATGCAAGAAGCAATCCAATTGGCTGGTATGAAGACCAACCAGCTAATCTCAAGACCTGTATTATCGGGCCGATGGATCTTTGTCATTCGACTTTTCAGCCCATATATCAGCCCTGTTGTCTCCTTTCTACTTGCTTTTGAAATTTTTCATGAAGACGAATCTGAAGACAGTGTTACATCACAATTAATGCTTAGACCAGAGCCAATAACATTACATAAGATGGAATATCAGAAATTCCTGAAATACTTAGTATTCAAGAAAAAAAATGTAAAGTTTACCAAGGGGAGATAACTACTTTTTAGGACCACCTGCAATATTCTATCTTTATAAGAGTTAGATCAAACCAAAAATGGAGTATTGCTGGGCTGGAGCTGCACAATTATCTCTTTTCAGGCTTGACAGTATTCAAAAGTCTCTGCATGGCCTTGTGAGTGATGAGTTTTTTTTCCACCCTACAACTCCTTTCCTACAGGGGAAATGTTACAATTCTATCACTATTTCTGTGGAAAATGTTGACAAGCTACATTTTTTAGTACCACCAGTTCAGACCTTTACCACCAAGACCTATTAACTTCATTCCCTTTGTATTTCATTGATGAGAAGGAAGTTGCATTTGGACAGTTGTGTGGGACAGAATCCTAAAAAGTGGCATCCTCAATCACTATCATCTTAACCTTTTAAATTATAGTTAACCATTATCTATCTGATATAGCATAATTATCTGCACTTCTTACCTTCTTCCCTTATGCCCATACAAAAAAATATATATTTAGTAGCCCTCTATCTTGAGTGGCTCTAAGGTATTAGGTGACTAATAGTGTTAAAAAATGAATATAGGTAAATGAATAGCATTTCAAATATCTTGTTTCAGCAATTTAAATAAATGGAGAAACAAAAATTGGATAAGAAAAATTTGCTTACAAAAAATAAGTGAAATCAAACACAATCTGATTTGCAAATTATGACTTACAAATTCTTAAATTATAAGCTTAATATATAAGAAAATGAAAATAAAAAGCCTTTATTGCAAATGAAACTATTTTAATATAATTGAAGAGTTAAAGATGCCAGTATGAAAACTCTGTCTTAATATTTAAATCTGATTGTTTGCTCTGGTTTATCAATCTTTTGCAGGTTATTTAAACCCAGAAAATATTTTTAGATTGTAAGAATATTTTTCAAATAATAATGAATTACTGATACAAGTTCTACTAATTAACCCTTATCTGGAGGGAGAAGAGGTAGATTCATACCTTTCCCAAAGGTATTTGTGCATAAGTGAATATAATGACCCTGGCTTAAATTGGAACTCTGCTATCCAATTTCAAGCCATTATCCATTTCACTCCCAGCACATCCATCTGGTATTCCCAAGCAGTCAGCCATCAAGGTACTGACCAGGCTAAATGTTGCTTAACCTCGGTGATAGTACAAAAACCGGTGTTTCAACATGTTCATAGTTAAATTTTCTAAGAACATTAATGACTTCTTGTAACAGGAAGAACCAGTTCCTCAGCATTGACAGTGAATAAGTGTCTAGTTATTTAAAAAATCTGTAAGATATTTATATAATTGCCATCATCTCTATGCAAATACTGTGACAAAACAGAGGGGAATTAAAGAAAAAGTAATATTCCTTACTAGTCATAAAAAAAAACAAAAAAAAAAACAAGGTTCTTTATGATCCTCCACCCCACAACAAAAAGATGGTTAGCAATTTTTTTTTAAGCTAAGCTTTTGTGACACTTAAGGAACAATACAAATATAACAGTATCACTCATTCATCTTCATTTTTATGAATGACAGTAATATTAGTGAATTTCTTCATTAACAAGAATATCTATACAATGGGTTTATGAAGCTGTTAATTGTATTGCAGAAATAGTAAATTACATAGCATATTTTAATTTGATAGAAAATATCTAAACCAGATAGGAGAAATTACTTAAAAACAAAGTATCTGTATAATTATTTTGGCTATTTTAATCATGAAACATAATAAAGTTGTAAAAATAAACTTTGAAGTATTTTTACCTCCTGCCAAGATCAATAGGATAAAGTTATCACATATCTGGTCTCAAATTGATATAATTTTGACTGGATTGTTGAGAACAAAACAGTAAGACTGTTGGCAATTTCTTTAAATAAAATTTGAACATGCAGTCAATATTCTATTTATTTAAAGAATATATAGCTCTAAATAAACAAAAATATATTTTTTTATTTGAGAAGGTTATTTTGAAGAGAAAGAAATCAATTATTTTATACTTGTTTTATCTTTGTTGCCTAAAATAGTAAAAATAAGCATTTCATAGCGGAAGGGTTTTACCCTGACATTGACTTGTATATATAATACTAAAAGAGTGACAGATTAATTGATTTAAAAGTAGCTTAACCTTTGAAAAAGGTTATCAAATAATACAGGCACATGGGGATAAAATTCATATAGAAAAGAATTACAAGACCTGAACATCGTTTGATATATTTGTTATCAAACCAAATTAGTGCTTAAAGCTTAAAGATAAAATCAATCAGTTATGTGCCATGCGTGATACACACTTAGGCAATTATGTATCTTTCAATACATGAATGACGAGGCAGATTTTTTCCTGCAGGAGGTTGCCACTTCTTTCTGTGGTAGACAAGTTGCCATCCAAGGCTATAGAACTTAGTCAGTCCTGCTATTTACCCATAGCTGGGGGGAAAAGAGGATTCATGCCTTTCTCAAGGGTATTAGCACGAAAGTGAATGTAATGGATTTGACTGGAATTTGAACTCAACTCTCCGATTCCACAATCGGAACTGCTATCCATTACTCCACTGTAAAGTAGGAATTCAAAATCACATCAGGAGTCATTTAACTTCATGATATTATACAATAATTACTTACAAGGTTTATATATGAATTTTCTTTATAAATTTACAATAAATGATGTAAATACATTCAAATGTCTAAAACTTTTATTTCATATGTATTGTAGAAAAAGGTCAGAAATAGTTTTATTCACTGAAAATTTCTTTCAATTCTCTGCTAATTAGCTAATAATAATTTTTTTTTTAAATCAATTTCACCCCAATTACTCATAAATCCATTATTCTTTAGTACATTTGTAAAGCAGAATGCAACCATGCAAAATGATTATAATACATACAAATGATTAACTGAAGAAAAAAAAAAAATTAATTAAAAATAAATTCATTTGGCTAACATTAATACAACTCAATATTCATTGAAAAACAAGATAACAGTACAAACTGAAATAAAACCACTTTGTTCAATATCTATTTTTATTAGGATGTTAAATTAAAATTAAGAATTATGAAAATGTTGACTGATATAAAATATAATGACTATTCTATTGTAAATCTCTCATTTCAGAAAATACACTAATTTCCTTCATTCTTTTTCTAACTCAATGTTAATACTCTAATGCATAATAAAGTATGCAGTCTTTAACAAGCAAGATTTATAGTTAAGCTTTTGTAACAACCAAAAACTTCTTGGACCAAAAACTTCTTTACATCATTATCTTCCACTTTTTATATTTATTAAAGTTCATTCATTAACAATCCTATAAAAGCCCAAAATGGTACAAATAACACGACTGGCCATATGTTGTATATAGATGAATTTTCTAATACACAATCTTTAAGCAATTGCAAAATTATCTTTGAAAAAGTCAACATTTTTTTTTAAAAATGAAGAAACATTGTGCATAAAAATAGGATTGTAATAATATTTTTCAGAGCTCTCCAATTAAAATTTGATGAATTCAATTCCTATTAATTTCCAAAATTGTTTTTAAATAAAAACAAAAGATAGCAAAACAAGCAAAGTAATAATAGAAGAGGAAAAATAAAAATTTTTTTTAGAAAGATACAATAGATTTTGTAACAAAGAATTTATAAGTCTGATATAGTTATCTATCTGAAATCTAATTCAAAGTTTTTCTGAGAGTACATGTTCTTGAAAATCATTTAGAATAAAATAAGATACAACTGGACTAAGGTTAACGTAAAGGTAAATCCAATGCAATTTTTTTTTCATTTTTTTCATTTTTAGATTTCAATTTGTACTATTTTATAGGATTATGATGACTGCCAATTACTCATCTGTCAAAAACATTTCATTTCCAATGAAATTCATCCAAGCAAAAACTGTACCAATATGTTGAAATATTCAAGTTAATTTTATTCCTAGTGGAATTGACATAATTGAGATAATAGGTCATGAATTTAAGTTTATGCTTGAGGAAATATCAGGACTCAAGATTAACACCATTTCGCAGACCTGTGTCAAAATTGTTTAAGAAACTTCATGTCCTCATTTCTATTTTTAATTCAGGCATAAAATCTCAATTATTTCAGTGTAATATTTTTTCTCTCTAATGACAGTTAAAATAAATTAGAAGATAAATTAAAAAAAATGTAAGTTGACTTAAACATTACCCAGAATTAATTCAATTTTTTGCACTTATCCAAACATATAAACAAAATATTGTTTAACATAAATGTATATATCCATCACACAATGTGTCCTGATGTGAAGATCATTGGAAGACAAGCAACTGATAACTCATGTTAATGTTATTCAATGTTTCTCTAATATCCTTAAAAATCTGACATCAATTTCACCCCCCAAAAAACTTAAGATATTTCCTTTGTCAATATATAACTCTTGTGGATAATAAACAAATAAAATTAGCAACTGTAATTAAGAAATGAGTAACAAGATTACATTAATCCCTTGAGAGAGAGAGAGAGA